GCTGGTATGGAGCTTGTTCACTTGATTGTACTGTCGAGTATCGGGGTTCGATATATCGAAATAATTGACACGATACAACTCAAAATTATGACCAATATTTCAAACCATCAACGAAACGGGGTTTTGTGAAAAAAACCAAAAAAACCAAAAGGTAAATGAAATTCAACAGGTGACCTATTAATTTGGGCAAACGTGAATGGGAACAGTTCTTTAACTAGGATCTCTGGAGTATAATGTCTCCGAGTTCGGTATCCATCTAAATAGAATGCGCTCATGTTTGTCCATTGGCTTAAGCACACATGCGTATAGAAATTATCAATTGTTTGTTAACGGTTTATCCATATGCGTATACAGTATTTCACATGCACGCAACGATGCGTGATTACCCTACACGCCTACATAGTATAGTGTGAATATTGAGCTGCAGTTAACAAGTACAACTAGAGCATGCAACATTGCGTGATTACCCTACACGCCTACATAGTATAGTATGAATACTGAGCTGCAGTTAACAAGTACAACCAGAGCATGCAACATTACGTGATTACCCTACACGCCTACATAGTGTAGTATGAATATTGAGCTGCAGTTAACAAGTACAACCAGAGCATGCAACATTGCGTGATTACCCTACACACCTACATAGAATAGTATGAATATTGAGCTGCAGTTAGTAACTACAACCAGAGCAATAGCAAGTAACATCCTTCTTTTAATCATTTGCATAGCTAGATTCTTATGTACCATCTAGGTAAAATTTAGAAAGTAACGTAGAAAAGATTATGCAATCTCAATACAGACCAAAGAGGTATGTTATCAAGAAAGTCAAAAGACACCTATGATGTAGTGTATACCCATGCGCAAAACTGTCACAGTGTTCTTTTGTATCATATGTTCAAGAAACACAAATTCTGAAAGTGTATATGTCCTGGTGGTTATTTATAGTAAACATTGAAACCTCGCTTTTTCATTCCTGATAACGACATCGGTGAAACCTCAGTCCTCAATAGACATGTTAGACAATGTGTACAGGATAAGTGACGTGATGTGTGACGTTCTTACTCATTAGAGTTCAGGTTATCAAATGTCAAGGTATCAAGTAATACTTGTCTATCATGACAAATTATTTTTGCGAACACAGTTAAAAGTGAATATGATTAATCTTTTTAATCAAGTGAAAATAGCCAAGACGCATACATTAATATGATCACAGTTACGTATGCCCCTAATCATATGCTTGTTGGACACTACTGTTACGTAAAAGATGACTCTGTCAAAATCGCAAATTCCCGACCAATCAACTTTGTTATGTTCCACTGTTGAACAAAGAGTACTTAAAGATGTTAAGAACAGGAACATGTTCCTGCCTACTGTTCTGTACCCATTCCCATAGGAGGATGAGTTACAAAATATAGATAGATACCGTTGGTCCTCAAGGTGGAGATCAGGTATATGTTCACTGGAAAAGTCCCAACCACTAAGCAACTCAAGCTGACTTGTTTCCTTTGGTAATTGACTATTACATCGGGGCCTCATTCACTGTGATCGCATCATGATTTCAGGCATAACATGTGTTATATTTGGAATTACACTCTCTTAGAAAATTGGGTGAATGTCAATATAAGCAAACTACAAATTACATTTTACTTATGTAGCAATGTCAGGGCGTTGCTTGGTTGTGTTGTGAAACTTTCAACATTTGATATTATGTATTCTGCGCTATCGTGTATTTAAGTAATAACGACTCGTTGCCGTTGTCTTTATTTATCGTAAAATATAACACTGCTGGGAGATTAAACATGGATCTTGTTGCACATATGTAAATATTGTAATATGAAACAGAAGAGGTAGTTTTACTGGTCTCTTTTTATTCTAGTTCAGGTGAGAAGATCCATGGACGGGAATTGACTAGTTGACAACTTTGAACGATATGAGATCATCGATATCCAAACCTTACTAATTCCGCCTTAGACACATTTCCACAGTAAGCCTTATATCGCCCCTCTATCCACAATACAATCTTTGCTGGAGCAGGTCTTAAATGCGGCACATTATAGTCCTCTGATATCTCAGTCAAGTCATATTTGTTACGTGTGTTCATCATGTTCTATTCCACTCAGTCATGTCATTTCTTCGTCACTTGTATTTTGAAGATGCATTACTTCAATCAAAGAGATATAGAAGACGATTGTTTCTCTGTTTCATAACATTAGTAATATATCATGCTGGCTGTAACAAAAGAAAACAAACTCCGAAAACTGTATCCTATTTTGTTCACATGGTATTTTAAGATACATAAACACATGACAATTATTTTAATGCTTACGAGTATTGACACAGATAAATACATATGCGCCCGTACGCACTATAGAACGATGGACACGAACGTATATAAGTTGTATCCAGTGGCTGTTTAACGTCATGTAGGATCACAACTTGCTTCCAAAGTAAACTGTATAACAACAAAACATAACGTTGATGACATTAAAATGACTTTCGTAAAAATAGTTACAATTCTCCTATACCTCTAACAAGGACACCGAAACACCGAGTGCAAGATTAATCACGCCTGTGATAACTCATCACGGAAACAGAAAGTCCATTTGCAAGGTCACGCGGTTTTCGACGTTGTGAGTCAATATGTGTCTTATAATGACGACATCCTTATATGGTTGGCGGAGGCTTGGTGGTAGATCGTTAAACACTTCTTGGATAAATGATTGATTCTTCGTTCATAAACACGGACATGGTGGACATCGTTGTACTTCATGAACTCCTCGTGTGTGTGTGTGTGTGTGTGTGTGTGTGTGTGTGTGTGTGTGTGTGTGTGTGTGTGTGTGTGTGTGTGTGTGTGTGTGTGTGTGTGTGTGTGTGTGTGTGTGTGTGTGTGTGTGTGTGTGTGTGTGTGTGTGTTTGCATGTTTGTGCAGCTGTTGTCAACGATGATTGAATCCATTATATACGTTAGGCGGGATTCATGTCATGGTAGTATGTTTTTAACCTATTCTCCATAATCAATTTCCCGAGCATGAGATCGGGTCAACATTATGTATACTGTGTATTTCAAACAGAAAGTAAATGGATTTGTCCAAGAAAATATAACAAAAAATGCTTCATGTCCGGAAACTATAAAATAGATCAATTGAGCCTGTCACCAGGAGGACGTGAAACCATGTCCCAGATGTGAAACAGTGACCTGCACATATTGGAACCTGCTCCATCCAAACCAATGGTTGATAGCATGAGCTACTTCTGCAGGTCCACATGTGTTATGACATTGTGACTTCATTTATTCTTCATGTTACAGGTAGAATGTTAGTCTATGAAATTTCTTCTTTTGGAATTATTATCGAAAAACAACAAACAGAAACATTCGGAGTTTAATGAGAAATTTTATTAAATACGAACTGTGTTTATGGTGATTAAATGTCGAAACCCAGCATGCATGAAACGATGTGACTGATTATAGTTATAAAATACTCTAAAATATGAAGAATTATTCACAACAGCTTTGCATTAAAAATAATTACAATAGATAATGACTATGTACACAAATCATAATGAGTTCAAGCCGTGACAAAAGTTGTCCAAAGAGAAAACATTAAAAACAGCAGGTGGAGTATGTCAGTTGACACGGGACAACGGTCATCTTATGTGAGAACAATAGCAAGCATATTCAACACTGTGGAATATGTGACATGTATTATCAAAGTAAAATAACACAAAAAGAGAACTTAGTACACAGAGCAAGGCAACATCTCTATTTGAGAGTGAATGTCGTATCGCCGGACCCGCAGCCTACATGAATCTGAAATGTGAACCAAATACTGGGATCAAATGCATGTGCTGTAACCTCAGATAACGGCAGATGGCGGACTAATGTTGGGTTGGCTTGGCTATTAGTCCAATGAGCTTCAGACAGGTTATAATGCTTCATAGTCATGGTACTGACCTTGCGCCATAAAACCTTCATATCCATCATCGCACGAGGGTTCAGTTTCATCAGCTGTGATTACATCTTCATAGAGGGAATTCTGCTCCATGTCAGCACTGTTTTTTGTACTGTCAATCTCTGATAAGACCTTCTCTACCAACTCCTGATGTGCTTCAGCATTCTCTCTAATGACATCCTTCTCAGCATTCCTACATCTCCCTTCTCTTCGAGTGTGAATGGACATTGTTTTAGTAATGACATTGTCTAAGTCAGACATGATTTTCAACCCGGTGTCTGGTTGAGCACCTACGTGAGAGTTAACTGACTCAAGGTCTTCTGAAGGGCGTTGAAAGGAGATTCCAATTTCATCTTTGCTTTCATCAGGATAGTATTTCTCGAGATGGTTTAACATAATTACAGTAACACCATCGTGGACTGTTTCAGGTTCCTGTACAGTCATACTGTGTTGCCTCACAGACACATTTTCATCCACTTCGTTTTTCTCGTGCCTTCTATGTACCTTGCTCCCTGAGTCTGAAGTAGTTTCTGGTTCAGTATAATCCAAATGTCCTTGGTCTGGTTCCATGGTTGCTTGATGTTCCACTTTGTGAGTCACAAAACTGTCCTCTTGACAGCCCAGGCTACTGGTAACTTCTGTCTTTTGTCCTTCGGCTGCTCCTAGGTGTGGCATAACCATTTCACCGATGATATCATAACCAGGATAAGTCATGTTTTGGAGTGGCATTTGGTCCATACTGAGAGCTCCAAATGAAACCCCTTGACAGGCCGAGCTACTTGAAACATGTGGTCTGTGTCCTTCAGCTGAGTCTTGTTGTGGCAGATATGTATCAATAACATCATACTCTGGATCAGTCATTTGGTGGAGGGATAGATTTGTATTGTCAGTAGGTGTGATGTACAAATCACGAAATCTGGGGATATATAAACGAATAATATGTCATTTGCGATACGGCACACAATCAACTATTACAGCACTGCCAAACAATGTTATACGTCTGAATGCTATACCAACAGCACATGACCGAAGGTTCGGGGTTTCAATCCCCGGTTATACCAAAAGACGTTAAAAGATGGCGCTTGTTGTTACCCTGTCTGTCACTCGGCATTAAGGGGCTAAACAACCCATGGATACATCAAATCAAATACTGTTTGCCCACATAACGAATTGCATAAACTCAATCAATGGACAGGTAATTATTCAATTATATTCATGAAACATTTCACTCACACACAGGGTAATATTTGTACCCATTAAAAATCAACACAACATGACGTACCTTCGATCGCAGTATTCTGCAACAAAATACCAAAACCAACATGTTTTATTATCAATCTACTGTCCATAATACAATTAAATCGGCCCACATAACATAGAGGCACCGGAGAGACAATGGTGCTTTTTCGGGCCAATACGGCTCTTGCGCGTTATTGAATTCCTAACATTGCAATCACAGCAAGACAATAGATTGCTGCCACTACACTTCATTAGAGCGTGGATCATATTTTCTTGCAACTAACTGGTACTACTTGGAAACATATAATTAAGATCGTAAATTAATAGATATGTCATTGAATGGGTGTATATGAATAACCCTGGGTCCACAGCAAGGCAAATATGACAAGACCTGTATAATAACATAATAATGCAGTTCCTCCCTCAAATCTATATGATATCGTCACATATATGTTACAGGTACACTCAAAATCCGACATCTTCATGGGACGGAATTTGGTGTACAGATAAGCAATATTCATATGCCGATCAAAATATTCCTGACGAACTACCAGAATCATTTGATTATACAATTACAAGATCAGTATATTTACATTTACAGATTGCATTTTATCGCAGTGGTTTAGTATTGCAAATCTTACCCCTGATAGACTTCCGTCGGAGAAGGACCACAACAGCAATGGCAAACAGAGTGATAACCTCCACTGAACAGCCAATGATGAAGCTAATGGCAGCTGTGGTCGTATCTGAAACATCTACAAAGGTTTAAGTATTTACATGTATCAAAATACAGAGCAGACTTACAACTGTCATGTGAAACATCAACTTGGAAACTGTGAGCATTAGTGTGATTCTAGAGCTTCTTGACAGCTTTGAAACACAGTATTTGTCTTCTGTGTAACGTAGTTGTATATTGCTGGTCATGTGTCACTTCAATTCAGATGAATTTGATACTTATAAGGAAGAGAATTTATTGATGTCAACTTCATTATTAAGAGAGACACAACGTTTCGGCGTATATGCTTACTCCTTCATCAGCATATGCTCCGAAGAAGCTGTTCTACCTAAATTTGAAATAAACTTACGTGTGCCTATGAATGTTGAGTTTCTTGCTGTAAAAGAAGATGAATTCATGAAATTGTCATCAGTAACACAGTACCCATATTTAGTTCCAAATAACATGAACATGGTAGAATGGATCTTCTGGATTTGATATTAGTTGAATAATGTCCGCCAGATGGTTTTAATTAGGGACTGACTTTTACGTATTGTGAGTTCATTGGCGTATGAAGGTTCATACTCCAATGAACTCGCACAAAGTGAAAGGCAATTCTTTCGATTTGTATATCACTCTTTTAAACCTCGGATAATGTATTATACAACTTCATGCAGTGCATGTGACTTCATTTTTACACTGACAGCCATACAATAACCAACAGTAGCACAGAATAAGATAGTTCATCAGTATGTATGCGCTAATTGCTCTGTAGTTTGGTTACAACAAATAAATTATAATAATATCATCAGTCATCCCTTAAGAACTACCCCAGTGTGTCGTAATACATTTAAATCGTATATAACACGTCAAAATGGCCGACACTAAAAACGTGAGGGGACAGATTTCCAAAGTTGGTCATGAACCTGTGGCGAATACACGTGTCATCCATCATTGATTACTAAGCAGATCATTGAAAGGTGATTATGTAGATCTATCAAATAGATACTAAGGTAAATATATACTGTTAACTGTCAATTGTCAGTCTGAACAAGGATCGAGTCCAAGGCTTGGATGTGCATTTCTTCATATAGTTCACTAGGATGGATCGCAGTGAGGTCAATCGTGAACGGACATGCAGTTAAACTCTCTGATGTATCCCAATGTATATAGTAAAACACTATCATCAAGATACTAGGATTGACATGATCTGAAACAACGCATATGTAGTTATTCGTATTCCATGATCGAGTGTTGAAGTCATTTAAGAAACACAATCTCATAGAATACGTCACAATGTATTCTTCATACAATCTACACTCGTGGTCATGCGCAAAAGCCATAAAAAGAATATTTGATTTTCCTACATTCTCCATATATAACATCCATCCACTACCTGGAATGGCCAATGAAGGTCGCTGATATGAAGCTCAAGCATCCTTGGCCATGTGACTCTCATAAGTATCTTTTTAAATTGAGGTTTACAAGACACATTCTTATATGTACACAAATAAAAAAATAGTCATATATTAAGAGAATATAAGACAGTACACATACGTTGGCGCACAATGAGGACAAAGATGCTGCTCCATCCCGACACCTGTCCACCCTCCTCTCTACCCTGACATGAGTAGCTCCCACTATCCTCCTCTCTGACATCAGGGATTGTCAAGGTGGAGCCTGACACCTGATGCCTTCCTCCACTCAGCAGCCTGGCGTTGTCTCTTCTCCAGATGTAGGACATGGTCAGATTGTGGTCCCGGGGAAGACTCCGGGACGTGGTGGAACATATCAGCGTTCTGTCTTGATTCAGATTGATCTTGGTGGCAGTGATGATTGCCTCCTCTGGTTTTCCTGGTGGAGGATGGGAACTTGATGATTTATTTTACTCCCCAAATTACAATTGTTTACAATGAATATTTATAGAACAGAATCATACAAATTGCGTTACAATAGATGAGTGTACATCACAATGTCACATGATATATGAATCCATTTAAAAATGATCATATCTTCTGTAAGAAAATCACTGGCGATTATTTATTTGATTCAGACTGAAGCTGTCGGTGTCAGTGATGTCTGGCTTTTCTAGCTTTCCTGGGGTTACAATGTGACGCTTGTCCATGAGAACTGGTTTATATCAGATTATTGTACTTCCCACTCTTTATATATGCTTGCTTTTGTAGAATACAAAGTATAATACAAGTAGTGCTATAATAATGGAGTAATACATGTTTTAATCTATGACGCTGCTTGATATATTTCAAGACATAAGGTGCCCCCAAAAGGACAAAACATTTTTCCTGCCCGATCAACAGCACCCACCTCACGAACAATTTGCACAGTGAAGTAAGGGTTTGTTTTTGACCTCACGCCATAGACAGCAAGACTCCTGCCATACGACGGAGGTCTGTGAACAATGGAGTCTGGTCTGAGCTACTTACGTGAGACAATCAGCTTATGTCCACACTGAGGTACACGGCGATATCCGCTGACACAGAAGTATTTGCCAGCGTCAGCTGCTGTAACATTATGAAGCAACAAACGTGCAATGACAAATTCAGATGAAGGACTAACTCCCTTGATCTGTAGTCGTGAGGTATAGGTATGCCCAACATTCCATTTATCAGATAGCTTCCACATAAAATGTGGACCAGAGGGCGACGTGATGTAGGACCCGCTCTCCAGTGAGGGCATCTTCCACGTCATCATGGCATCCTCTCCTCCAGGCACCACAGTGTAGTTCTTGTTATCATCAGACCAATCTGTAAAATAGATTTTTTTCGTTTAGTATTTACGTATTGTCGTCAGCACATGACACTACTGTCTCTGATCAGACAGGAATTATTGAAAATACTAAGCTCAGATGGAAATCATGATACACACGTCCCGTTGAACACTTTTAGGTGAAAGCCCCCCTTCCAGCACCTAACTGGTTCACACTCATGTTTATGAGCATGCAACTCACCACCAACAATCAACTCGACCAGTGTATATTGACATTGACGGTGATCTTGCGTTGGACGCGTCATTATTAATCCTTTGAGGTATAACTGAAGTAAAAATCATGTCTAATTGACGTGTTTGTTCAAACCACTCACATATTAGTGCAATATCCACACTCCACTCAGACTGTATCTCCCCCACTCCAGCCTGACACTTGTATCTGTCGTTCTCCCGCCAACTATCACGAATGGTCAAGGTGCTGGTGTGGTTTATCTGTCTCCCATCATACACAGAGCTCCACGTCTCAGATGACGCCATGTGATTTCTCTCCCCACTATACAGCCTGATATTGTTTTCTCTCCATGTGACTGACACAGTTGGGACGCTATCCGGATAGATCCGTAGTCTACAGTTGCATGTCAGGTTCACGGTTCTGTTATGTTCCCTTTCAAGATGTATGTAGGGGTGATGAAAATCTAAAATGCAAAGCATCAATTCTAGACAATTGACACTGGGAATCAAAAAGCAAACTACACACTAATGCTGTCTTCTCTTGATTATAGAATACACTCAATTAAAGACGTACGCGATTCTGATTGGTCTTTCAGAGGTTTGAAACCACAATGACCAACAGTTTTAAGGAGCTGATTTGACAGCCAGATCCCCGCTGAGTTGATATTTACAGAAACAGGATATACATTGTGCTTACTGCAGTATCCAATTTATGTGTGGCAATACATTTTGAGCAGAAAACGTGTATTTAGACTTTTCTGGACAACACAGAGCTTGGAATCTGGCCATTTTCTACTTCCCACTTTTACCTTTCCACCAAGATATACTTTGTCACTACCACATCAAGCTGACACACCGTCATATAACTGGACTACCGTTCAAATAACTAAACACTCTCTATTTATCACAGTGAATGGTGTGACGTAATTATAGTCACTTAGAACTAATAGAACCAATACATGAAAGTCTTTCTGATCTATAAGTATAATGATGTAATAGCATCAGTATTGTAGCACATGCATGCTGTTTTATACAACCCATATAAATCATTGGACTCAACCCACAATACCTCACTCGATATATTCGCTAACACCAAACAGTAGGTGTTTAGTATGGTCATGGAAAATGGAGATTAACAATCTGATATTTTGATAAGATGTAACTACACCAAGAATAGGGAATTGAAACATTTGCCAAACCTGCGAGATCGGGTCAACATAAACATTTGCGCGGTTATATCTACAGGCTACCTGGTTCGGGTTCAGACCAATGGTCAATGAATAGGGCACAACTCAGAGACGCATTTCAGCTTAACGAAATATGCCACACTGACATTTGTGACAATCTCATCATGGACACAAAACTGCTTGTCGTACTGGCATATGTGGTTCCGCTACAAGAGAAAAATATCTTAAACGTCACAAGCATCCTCTCCATTCACATAGTTTTGAACAAACATGTGTCTCATTTATTGCGATGGTGTTAGCGGTTGTGAAGGAGAGGGGTACAATAATTAAACAATATTGTGAAACAAATTCTTACCCATAACTTAAAGTGTCTGTCCACAGTTTGGCATCCTGATTCTTCTATAGGGGAGATATGATCACATAAGACACTCTTCCGCGAGTACTCACCTATAACATCATGGCATGTCAGCTTAATGTTGGAGGAGAGTCAGAAGTTACGTTTACCATCTTGTCGAAACCTAGAAGCATGTTTACGGTGTGCCCGAACCAAGGATCACACACAGAACGAATTTTGGAGTCGAAACATACAGTCATTAAGCTCACATGGACATTCGATAATACATCAGAACCCTGCAGGTACTTACCTATAACATAAAGTGTTTGTCCACAGTTTGGCATCCTTGTTCTTCTATACGGCGGACGTGTCGGGTCCAGGTGACAGCTGTACTGGCCAGCGTCAGAGGGGGTCACGTTATACAGTTGGAAACTGAAGGTTCCACGTGTGTAGGACAATGAGTCGCTATTAATCCTTGTCCTCAGTTCCTCATCAGCAAGTGTTACTTTATTGCTGCCAGTTATCTGAAACACTATCCTGTATTCCTTCATCACCTTGAACTCCTTGATGGGAGACATGGCCCACGTCACAGTCACAGGTCCTCCAAGGCGAGCATAGACGCCTGCAGCAGCTGAACAATACAACACGGATTTCATGAAGTTGTGGAAGTATGAGTGAGTGAGTGAGCATAGTTTTGGCCGCTTTTAGCAAATATCACGGCGGGGCACACCAGAAACGGGCTTCTCTAATTGTACCCATGTCGGGAACCGAACTCGGGCCTTCGGCGTGACGAACGAACACTTTAACCACTAGCCTACCCGACCGCCCCTTTGGAGGTATGGACCAAGAACACAGTTAAACCTTATAATTTCAATATAAAAGGATGTAAGACCACGTCTTTCAAAGTATATTTATTTCTTCCACTTTTTTAATCGTAGCATATATGTTATTTTAATGTTTGGCGAAATTATGTCAGTCGTCGCTAACAACTGGAGGGATGATGTAAATCCGACTGAAGTCCATGCAGGTAGCAAAAGTACTGTAAGTCCCCATGATCCCCAGCGCGGTGATCGACTTTCAGTTGGTGGCGATCTATAGCCCGTTTTTATAATGTGTTGTCGAATGATTAAGTTAGTTATCTATTTTAACATATTCTCAAACTAGTTTTACGAATATCTGTGATATGCTAGTTTTTATACTGCCCTTCGTCGGCAGAATTTTATACAGCTAAAATTATATTGTTGATGTCAAATTTTGTTTCGTCACGATATGGCTGAAAAATATTGCCGATGTGACGTTAAATCTTAATTCACTCACTCACTCAATATAAAAGGCCAATTTTGTATAACTTTTCTGACGAAACATCCAAATACATGTGTCAAGACAATCATTCTTACAACCCTTGTAAATCCATGGATTTACCGACTCTTACTGAATGACCTCTGCAGCAGTAACCACCAAGAAAACACCTGTTTCGCGAGATACGCGAGATTGTTTGAACTCACGTGTTGAGGTTTTATAGTAACAAGTATTTCGATACAAAATGCCAATTCTCTGTCGCTTTTCTAACGAATTGCTTACCCTTTTCGAAAAGGCCTGTTGCCATCATAGACATACATCTCAAATACATATATGGCGGAAGCGATGTAAGTAATATTATTTTAAATTTGCTTACTTGTTGCTCCAATGTGGCTGTAATTCAAAAGACAATACACGACCCAAGAATAAGGAAAGCAGCTCCACACACGTTGCATTGTGTCAATGCGCTGCCAGACTATTTCACACTGATTTGATGAAAGTTGTTTTTAGAGTGCAGATCGAGGAAGACGTGTATGTGAACGATAAAAAACACTGTTTCCGTGTACGTTGTTCTTGTTTCATTTACCTCAAGATGATTAACGCTATATTTGAAATATGAAACATACACACAATAAAAATTGCTTCCTGGTGATTCACCTCCGTTAGTAAGTAAGTAAGAAAGCAAGCAAGCAAGCCAGCCAGCCAGCACCCAAGCAAGCAAGTAATCACTTAGACATTTTGGGTGTATCAAAATTTATATTGGCGAGAAAAAAAGTCAAAACATAAATTTTATAACATCAATATCCAATACAGTAAACTACGGTTATAACGAACTGAAAGGGACCACTAAATGTAGTTCGTAATAACCGTAGTTCGTTACAAGCATATATACAACAAATGTACAACAAATGACCGGGACTAAACAATAACTTCGTAACATCGGTCAGTTCGTTATAAGCGTGTTCGTTACAAGCATATATACAACATATGTACAACACATGACCGGGACTTAACAATAACTTCGTAACATCGGTCAGTTCGTTATAAGCGTGGTCGTTACAAACGTAGTTTACTGTATATGAAAATATGTGCAATGTGCTGTGTGTGCAAAATAACAATTTCGTAGCTGTAGTAGTAGAAGCGGTGGGGTAATCTACTGGCTAAAAGATTCAGTCGTCAAACTAAAGAGCAGGGTTCTATTCCCCACACGGGTACAATGTGTGAATCCACTTTCTGTGTCGCTTGTCGTGATATTGCTGTGACATTCCTTAAAGTGGCGTAAAACCATACTCGCTCATTGAATCTGCTTTGCCATTGATAGTTTATCGAAGGGGGTGACTATCCACTAAACACTAAATGACTAGATAAATACATGATCTGTTGAAAACTGATAATGCATACATCAGCAGAATCAGACACATTGAAACGCAACTGTTTAATTACAGTATAAGATAGGATTATTGGAATCCTTTGGTAGCTATTATTGTTTCTTTTTAACAGACTTGAACATATCGTAATGTTGGCATCACATTCCTTGTCATCAAAAATATTTTTTTCCTAATTTGGAAAAAGTCCTGTTGTCGAGCATTTCGTGTTTTCTGAACTGATATGATCTACAGTTTCCCGAATATGGCCTGAACAACAATTTGGCCTGAACCTCCGAAGATATGTAACTATATCAAAGGAAGAGGTGACCATATGCATGGTTTTAGGAACATATATATTTTGCTTATGAGAAATAAATGCATCATGTAAGTTCAAGTGTATATTTACAAGCATGCATATTATCCTTGGGTGTGACTGTGATCATATATACCCACGTATTATACATATTCAATGAAATATGTGTTAACAGTTACATAAGTGTCAATGATATCGGTTGGGGAATTACTGAAGATATCTCTGTGAAACGTACTTTTATGTTTCCTTTACAGACACTCGACGAACTCTCAACGTTGTTAACCTGTCGTTATGGGGCAAAGACATTCATGATTTGTTACTGGTGACACGATGACACGGAACACAGTGTCAAACTGACTACTTCCGTAAAAGCCAACAATCATTTATGACGGAAACAGAAAGGTCGATGTTACACGTCAGTTGATATAACGTCAGCCAATATGTGTCTTATAATGATGACCTCACTGTATGGGAGATGGAGGTTTGGCCGGAGAACAAACATTTATCGAACACGGAGGTGTTTCGTCGTTATTATATTCTGACATGGTGGCACATTTACAAAGTGTGGACTGTACGAACAGGGGATTGGCTTTTGACTGCTCTAGGTGGTGTGCATGTACATGAGGAAGTTGCGTAGTGCAAGCGCTACTTTCGGTTTGAAAATACTGTCACTGGCATAAAGTATTAGGTAACAGCAAGTCGTGTGAACACGCACACACGTATTTAACATGTAAATACGTACTTTCTCCCACACACAAACACGCACACACACGCGCATATACACATGTTCACACACACATACACATACACGCGCACACGCACACGCATACACGCACACACGCACACACACATGATCCCATACGCACATACACATACACGCACACTTACATATACACACACACGCACACATACATGGACACGCATACACGCACACTTATACACACGTACACACGCATACACACACGAACACACATACGCAGACACACGCACGAACACAAACACACACGCACGCAAACATACACACACACGCATGCACACAAGCACATACAAATACATACACGCACGCTCACATACACACACGCGCACAGTGCGCACACGCACGAACACACATACACAGACACACGCACACATACACGCACACACACATACACACACGCACACACACGTACACACGCATACACAGATGCGCACACCCACACACTCACATACACATACACGCACGCACACATACACGCATACACACACATTCACTAGAGCGATAAATATACACACATACGCACGTACACATACGCGCACACACACATTCACGTACGCACACATACACACGCATACACGCACACATACAAACACACACGCAGAAACATATGCACGCACGCACACATACACACACACGCACACACACGCATACACGCATGCACACATGCACACGCACATGCACATATACGTACACACATACACGCACGCACGCACACATACACACACGCACACACACATGAACACACACACACACACACACACACACACACACACACACACACACACACACACACTCACACACACACACATTCACTAGAGCGATAAATATGCACGTACACATAGATAGATAGGTCTGAATGTGCTATGCCTTGTCCAGTGTCACGATAACAGCCGGATCGTCGCACATGACGACCACCAGATTCCCTGTCAAAACCTCCTCGGAACTTAGCTTATTATGTCTTCTTACTACGAATACAGCAACTGTATTAGTGAAATAGAAAACACAACAACTCGCCTGTAACATTTGAGTTGTTTTCCTTGTTCACTTATGTTGAAAGGTTCATACAACGTCAGCTTACGAAACGACGTCCTGTGTGTAACACGATTGCATTCAACTCCGGAAAGTATGTTTGTGATTTTACATACACCTAAAGATTACTACATTGCAATGAACAGACCAAACGAAAGAATATACGGAAATTATTTAATCGGTGCCGGAAAATAATCACATGTCAATATAAATAGTTCAGAAACACTATACGTGGCACAACAAAACAACCTGCTTATAGACGTTAGTGATGAATAATATTTATTAAATCCTCGTAAATACTATAGCTAGCAACTGTGTAATACAGTTTCTCAAGTCACAACTTTGTCTCAGACGCATCTGAAATAACCTACTGCATGGACATACAAAAATACTGAAAAGGATTTCGTCAACTACACACAGAGTATTCAATCAGTATGTACATGGACATGTACACGGATATGTTCAGGAAAATAGCACAAGCACTTTATGTGGGGAGATTATAATGAACCAACTGGGCTTTGCGCCAGACAATATCTCCCAGTTCTATCTCAGTGGCCAGCAAATATCCATGCATGAACATGAACAACGTCTACGCCGAAACGCGGTCAAGCATCATAACTAAAACATATCGTTGCCTGGTTAAACAGGTTAAAACGGTAACTATCCAAAGACGAAGATGCGGTGTGGGACATGATCTGACACGAAATCTACATGGCGTCAACGACAAGGCTAAGTTAAATATGAATGCATAGGTAGACTTTATTGTGATGGTTAACTCAACAAGCAGGAATCAGTGAGAAGCTACACAATAACTAAATGTGCTGCATTATTCATGTCTGTGCATGCTATAACATCAGTTCACAATATTGTATGTATTTTATATATTTTATGTAGGATTTCCCATGACAAAAAACTTATTTCTTTGGTAAACAACAACTAAAACAATACAACGTTTAATAAGAATTGTGTTCAATACACATTATTTTTACGGTGCATAAATAGAGAATCTTACAGTGTATTTTGATATCAAATATATCAACAGGAGTTGATTAAAGAGGCAAATATTCCTCGGCAAGCCTCGAATTTTTCCACTTTTATCAACTCCTATTTTACGGTGCATAAATAGAGAATCTCACAGTGTATTTTGATATCAAATATATCAAAAGGAGTTGATAAAAGTGGAAAAAATCGAGGCTTGCCGAGGAATATTTGCCACTTTAATCAATGAGTGTTGATATATTTGATATCAAAAGTCACGAGGGTGAGATTTTATTTATCATCCAACATCATTCTTCAGTTTGTAGACCGTAATCAGCAGTGTCTTAAGTGTAAAAAGAGCTGCTAAGAGCTTCAATAGCAGAGCCATTAGTGATGTCATTTAATTGTGACGTCATGGTAAGCAATGACGTCAAAATGGTCTGCAAAGCATTGTGATGGAATTTCATTGCAGCGATATATGCTATGAAGATATCGCTTGATCTCACCCTAGCAATATCTCATACTCTAAAATATAACATATTATTCACAATGGCTTTGCCTTAAACATAATTACAATATATATCAACTATGTACAGGTTTGTATTAAGTTCCCACTGTGACCAATACAGAAGCAATACAACAACAACATCGCTGGCTGACACGGAAGCAATCTGTCATCTATCTAAGGTATGCACAAGGTTAACACTGTTGAATATATACGATATGAAATTCAATGAATCTGAAATACAGAACACTTTAAACAGAGTACACAGAACTGTGCCTAGTTAGGGGATATGTAGGGGTGATGGGTGGCGTCCCTCATCCTTGTGAAGAGTTGTCTTGTTAGGGAATATGTAGGGGTGATGGGTGGCGTGCCTCATCCTTGTGAAGAGTTGTCTGGTTAGGGGATATGTAGGGGTGATGGGTGGCGTGCCTCATCCTTGTGACGAGTTGTCTTGTTAGGGAATATGTAGGGTTGACGGGTGGCGTGCCTCATCCTTGTGACGAGTTGTCTTGTTAGGGAATATGTAGGGTTGACGGGTGGCGTGCCTCATCCTTGTGACGAGTTGTCTTGTTAGGGATATGTAGGGGTGATGGGTGGCGTGCCTCATCCTTGTGAAGGGTTGTCTAGTTAGGGGATATGTAGGGGTGATGGGTGGCGTGCCTCATCCTTATGAAGAAGTGTCTAGTGAGGGGATATGTAGGGGTGATGGGTGGCGTGCCTCATCCTTGTGAAGGGTTGTCTTGTTAGGGAATATGTAGGGTTGACGGGTGGCGTGCCTCATCCTTGTGACGAGTTGTCTTGTTAGGGAATATGTAGGGTTGACGGGTGGCGTGCCTCATCCTTGTGACGAGTTGTCTTGTTAGGGAATATGAAGGGGTGATGGGTGGCGTGCCTCATCCTTGTGAAGAGTTGTCTAGTTTGGGGATATGTAGAGGTGATAGGGGGCGTGCCTCATCCTTGTGAAGTGTTGTCTAGTTAGGGGATAGGTAGAGGTAATAGGGGGCTTGCCTAATCCTTGTGAAGGTTTGTCTAGTTAGGGGATATGTAGGGGTGACGAGTGGCGTGCCTCATTATTGTGAAGGGTTGTCTAGTTAGGGGATATGTAGAGGTGATAGGGGGCGTGCCTCATCCTTGTGAAGGGTTGTCTAGTTAGAGGATATGTAGGGGTGATGGGTGGCGAGCCTCATCCTTGTGACGAGTTGTCTTGGAGCGTTAAAATAAACATATGCTCTCTCTTCAGGAAATGTCCCAGACTCCCTTCCCCCAGATTGGACACGTGGTCAGTTACTTCGGCGCACAGGAACACAACAGATGACTCTGTATATATAGGCTCACGGAGGAGAACGGGTATGTTAGACGATGTACGTGTTGCATCCACAGATAAAGGTAGATGACAAGTTAGCTGAGCTAATTCAGAAAGATGCGGTCGAGTTATAACACAGTTATGTCATCGCATTGACCTGGCATGATCAAGCATTCCGTTTCATCAACTGTGTTTCCATTTTCATTGAGGGAAAGCTGCATAATGTGTTCTTTACTGTCCAGTTGTGTCGCCATAATATCACTGTTCTCTGATGATACTGTCCCCACCAACTCCTGGTATGCCTCAATAGTATCTCTTTTGATACCACTATCAGTATTGCGTTGTCTCTCTTCTCTTTGTTGGATAATGGACATTGTTTCAGCAATGATATTGTCCAAGTTAGATATGATTCTCAACACTGTGTCGGGATGAGAATCTATAGGAGAGCTTACTGACTGAGCTTCAGTTGAACTGATACCACCATGTACTGTCATACCTTGTTCCCCAAATGACACATTTCCATCCACTTCAGGGATTTCGTTTCGCATTTGTCTCCTCTTCTCTCCAATCCCAGATTCTGAAGTAGTTTCTGGGTCAGTACAGTCCAAATTCCCTAGGTCTGGTGCCTTGGTTGCTTGATGTTTCAAACTCTGGGATGTCGATCTGACCGCTTGATCTACCTTCTGTCCTGCAGCTGACCCCGCTTGTGGCATATTGGCCTCAACAAACTCAGCATAGGTTATGCTTTGGAATGACATACCTATATTGTCAGAGGGCGTGATAGGCGACTTGCAAAACCTGTGGATACAATGTCTTCTGTCATTTCCTATATGGCCAACATATTTAAATTTAAATTATTCCACAGCTATTGACACTTTACAATAACGTAGCTTCTTCTTATTGACTCTATCCTCTATAATTGTTTTGTCATACCTTTTGGTATCTGTTATAATGCGAAATCTGATATGTTCCGTCACTGTTGAGAGGGGTGCTCATTTATAACCCTTAGTCCCACACTAATCCGCTAATTCTGGATTTTATCTACAACATAGTAAACTTCTGTGACATGCATCACACTAAGGTATTTCTCCCACATGAAATGGAAATGCCCCATAAAACTGAACTACCGTTCGATGTGTTATAACTCAACTCATTCACGCACTCACGTCACCAAGTTTTCAATGACAGTTTCAAGTTATTAATTAAAAAAACACACAAACCTGATCGTAAGATTGAAACCTTGTATCCTTCACACTATAATGCCAAACATACTGTGTCAGGATGCTACATTATGCACAGATTGTCATAGTTTGTAAGGATATGTCTTTATGAGACTGTAATTCCTTGCTCTCTTGAAGACGGGGTGCACAAATGGCTAAAACACTTGCTCGTCACGGTCGAAGACCCGGGTTCGAGTCACCATATGGTAACAATGTGTCCCCCAAAGTGACGTTGCTAGAATATTGTTAAAAGCATCGAAAACGTGACCCACTCCTTTCAAAAGATGATATGTATACTGTATGTCAGATCCTACCTTCGATTCCAGCGTTCTGCAATAAAACACCAAAAATATGTTTTCATTCAATTTATCTTTTGAAACATATATTATTGCGTCGATCGTCTACGTGGTCTACTGGGTAGAACGTCTGCCCAGAGAGCGGAAGTTTGGTGGTTCGATCTCGGCCGCGTCATACCAAACAACGTTTAACGATGGTACTTGCTGTTAACCTGTCTGGCCCTCGACATTTATGGTATAAAACATGAAATGGTTGACACTATACACATATCTACATTTATCTGTCTGAGGTGCCTTTTTCAGAAGCCATTAATAATAGAAATAAACCGAAATAATTACGAATTTCATTATATCGCAGATTAACTATTAATATTTGGAAATCTTACCTCTGATATTCTTGTTTCGGACGAGTACCACGGCAGCAATGACGAGCAAGGTGATAGCCAATATTAAACAGCCAATGGCAATGCCAGGAGAGGTCGTATCTGGAACATGTACAATGTATTGTATAATAATAACCAACATAATACAGAGTCGGGTAAGGGTAAGGGTAAGGGTAAGGGTAAGGGTCGGTCTGAGGGCAAGTTATTAAATGCATGAAAATAAATCAGTGACATTAAATAACATTGTTAGTGAAAAGTGGAACAATTTCATCATGGGAAATTGTGGTATTATTCCAATGTTTGAGCCTTTTACAAAATGAATATTGCTGATGTATAGAAAAATATTATTTAAAAACAATAATAGTTTATTGCGTAAAATAATTAATTTGGCGCTAAACGCTGATGGACAGGATGACATTTGTGCGAACTGTAATTTCCTAAAAGTAGCTTCTTATAGAATGAACAATGGCTTTTAGGTGAACGACCAAGGAAATTCGTCACGATTCTAAAGCATCAGTTATTGTCAATGAGAGCTCATTATGAATTGGTTATACAAGTGTTTGTCATATTCGACTCAAGGCTACAAATCACATTTAAAATAAACTCACGCGTATTCGTGTTGCTTCCTGCAAAGTGAGGAAGGAGATTTCGTGAAAAAGATAAAAGAAAAGCATTTCAAAGTCATCATCTAAGCAATGTAAACACCCCTGTATGGCACTAGTTATCATTATCTTACAATATATATCTTTACTAAAGGTTTTTGAAAACTGCCTACATCTTATGGGTGAGTGGGTACCGCTTTTAGCAATATTCCAGCAATATCACGTTGGGGGACACCGGAAATAGGCTTCACACATTGTACCCATGTCGGGAATTGAACCCGGGTCTTCGGCGTGACGTGCGAACTCTTTAACCACTAGGCTACCCGACAGCCCCTTACATCTAATGTGACATTAGAAGTACCCAAATTTAAAATTCGAATCTATAATTTCAATAATCGGCTACTTTGAGTTACACGTGATTGGCATACACATGAGTCATAGGTGTTTGGATAAATATGACGCCATCCATTATGCAACAGCGCTGATACATTTCCATTTGACATAACACGCCGCTGGATTTCCTGAATGATATCCATGGCCATTTGAAACCCTTTGAATTTGAAAGTCTCCTAACTATTAGATATATGATGTCTATCAAAATAATAAGTAAGTCAATCAGAATGAATATATTCATATATTTAGGACAGTATACATACGTAGTTGAACATCCAGGACAAAGTCGCTGCTCCATCGCGACACCTGTCCACCCTCCTCTGTACCCTGGCATGAGTAGTTCCCACTATCCTCCTCTCTGACATCAGTGATTGTCAAGGTGGAGCCTGACATTTGGCACCTGGCTCCACACAGTAAGCTGGTGGTGTTTCTTCTCCAGATGTAGGCCATGTTGAGACTGTGGTCAGGTGGAAGACTCCGGGACGTGGAGGAACACGTCAAGGTTATGTTCTCACCCACACTAGGCAGGTCGGCGGCAGTGATATTCGTCTTCCCTGGCTTGCCTGGAATACATGGTAATATGTGTACATCAACATGACAATCTTCAACGTTTGTGTTTAGGCATAAATATATCTCGATTTTTCTTCTCTGACATTAAGTGATATTCAAGGTGGAGCCTAACGTTTGGCACCTTACTTAACTGTTCTAAGATGTAGGACATGGTCCGATCGTGATCGTGGCGAAAAAAAAACGGGACGTGGAGGAACGTTGCATGTCAGCCTTGAATCCCGAGTCAAATTGAACTCTTCTATGTTTCACGGTGTCAAAGGGAACTATCAGCTTATCATACACCTCACACTCGATTATAGCATAGAGCGCCTCCGTGGTCAAGTGACAGAGTGCCTTCCCGGAGAGATCCCGTTCGCGTCTTACCAATAGACCTTAAAAAATGGTACTTTTTGTTACGCTTCCTGGAGCTCGGCATTAAGGGGCAAAAACAAGAACAGGTCGGCTCGGAGTCAGTATACTGTGTCTGAGTGGAGTTCAAGTTAAACTACGGCACGGTATCTCAGTGGGCCTCACTATAAAATCGGCATTAGTCCTGACTAGAACAAGCAGCCACGCCACACACTCACGTGCATGCACGTCGCTATATAAGTTGAACGTGAAGTTAAACCCCATTTCACCTCACCTCTCCTTTTGAGTATGATTACTGCATGGGATGCTAACAGAATAGAACCATACAAATAGTGCTGCAATAGTGGAAAGATACAGGTTTCTATCTGCAATGCTGCTTGATACCTTCAACGAACGCAATGCTAATAGTGGCTATCAATTATTGTAGGAAGAGTCAGTCACGTTATAAATTCAATACGTCGACGTTAGAGAACGACATTGATGAAGACTACATGAATGGATCACCGACAGAGCGACGATATCAGATGCCCCGCGAATCCGGCAAACATTTCCGGCTTCACCGGCAGCAGCCGCCACCCACACAATATGCATATAAAAGTAAGGGTTTGTTTGTTGGCTATCGCAGCACCCAGAAAGACTCCTGCCATACGACGGAGGTCTGTGAACAATGGAGTCTGGTCCGAGCTACTTACGTGAGACAATCAAGGTATGTCCACACTGAGGTACACGGCGATATCCGCTGACACAAAGGTATTTGCCAGCGTCAGATGCTGTAACATTATGAAGCAACAGACGTGCAATGGCATATTCAGATGAAGGACTAATTCCCTTGATCTGCAGTCTTGAGGTGAAGGTATCCTCAACGTTCCATTTATCAGATAGCGTCCACATAAAATGTGGACCAGAGGGCGACGTGATGTAGGACCCGCTCTCCAGGGAGGGCATCTTCCACGTCATCATGGCATCCTCTCCTTCAGGCACCAAAGTGTAGTTCTTGTTATCATCAGACCAATCTGCAAAATAGTTTTCGTTTATTTAGTCGTTCTTGTCCATGGACAAAGATGTTGGTAATGCTGTAGGTGTTTATATACATAATTTACTGGTCGACTGTTCAGTATGTTGTATGGCAGTGTATTTTATAACATTGATTGTTACATTGTTATTTTTTAGATTTGGTCGACGCTCATTGCAGTGTGTTTCGACAGTGATCAGTCGTGAGGAATATGGTGCTTTTAATGTTAGCAAACGTCAGGAAGTTACTATATTTAGACGCTAATGCGGTGCGTGATAGGACCATGTGGAATGACTAAGCACCGCTAGACTGAAGGCACTGTGTACAAACTACCGATGGCTAGCTATGTTGTATATAAGGGAACATGAGCGTGTTTACGCATCGCTCACAATTTTCATCACATCAAGACCAGCTTTCGTGTGTGGATCACTCATCATACCTGGATCCCCGCCTAAGCGCGTCTCGGAAGCTTGACCGCTTTTGCCGCTGGGTGAATATATATCATTATCACTGACTTTTGCTATTACTACTTTATTTTTGTATTTAATACTGACCACTGCCCTCATATTATATATTGGATAGTGTACCACCACTCTATTGGGTACTGCCATTGTAATTGTTGTGCAGCAATTTGTGTTGAATTGTAAACCTAGTTAATTCAATTGTTTATTAATAATTTCACACCAAATTCTTTGACATACAGATTTCTGGGTTAACATTTCGTTTCAATTTGGGAATCGACAGGTAACAAGTAGAATCAATGACAATCTTGCATCTACATGTTTACTGCTCGAAAAGTAAAGGACCCATGTAAACTACACTGAGACATATTGAAACCACTCACTTATTAGGACAATCTGCTCACTCCACATAGACTGTATCTCCCCCACTCCAGCCTGACACTTGTATCTGTCGTTCTCCCGCCAACCATCACGAATAGTCAAGGTGCTGGTGTGGTTTATCTGTCTCCTATCATACACAGAGCTCCACGTCTCAGATGACGCCATGTGATTCTGTCCCCCACTATACAGCCTGACATCATTTCCTCTCCATGTGATTGACACAGTTGGGACGCTATCTGGATAGATCCGTAGTCTACAGTTGCATGTCAGGTTCACAGTGTTGTTGTCCTCCACGTCTTGTTCAATTAGGACATAAGGATCTTGTAAACCTAAAAAACAAGGTATCCTCTCAAGACATAAACAAATATACTATCAAATTTGTATTCAACATTTCAGTATATTAGTTATGTGTGCATCATGGGAAGATTTCTCAACAGTTTCTGGTGATTCCCCACACATCTATAAATAGATAATTAACCAACTTTCACTTTCACACGTTGTCAACAGCATGGTGTGACAACCACGGGTGTATATTCCAAGGAGCTACAAACGCCACAGAATAAGTAACACTGGTATCTACCGAAAGAAATGCCATAGAAGACAAGCTGGTGATGGAGATTACATAAATGAAGCATTGAAAATCAGTGATAACACCTAGTGTTCACAATATTAATGTCAACAAATATATCACAGCTTATTGTGACGTGACACATCTTAATTTATTAATTACCGATTAATGGGTAACTTAATTCCTGTGAAAGGTAAGATTTCAACTTGAATAACGAAATACCCGTTTGCCACTCGGCACAGAACTCTACCCGTCCCTTGTGAGTTGATGCGTTGTCTGTTCAATGACAATGAAACATAGCGACAAAACCCTTTCCATGTCCAATAGAAATCTCTGCATAAAGCAGAGTCGATTGTACAATTCCGACTATATCATGAGCATGTGTTTATGAATCACTATCAAATAGTTATGATACAAGGTATTCGCGACAAGGGGAGCGTATCCTGCCCACTGGTGGCACCCGTCAAACAGATGCAAAGACACGTCAATTGTTAACCTGAAAATATGGTTCAAAATAGGGATATTCACTGGACATCAATTTTGTCACTGATGCGTGAAATTTGGACAAATGCCTGTCAAGCTATACGTACCGAATCTCCCTCACTCGTTGATATACGTCGTGTTGCATTGAGTAGGTGTATTTAATCTCAGCACGCCGTTTATATTGTTGTATGGAGGACAGTTGGAAGTGCCATTTACCATCTTGGAGAACACGTGTATGGGTACTCACCTATAACATAAAGGGTTTGTCCACAGTTTGCTATCCTTGTTCTTCTATACGGGGGACGTGTCGAGTCTAGGTGACAGCTGTACTGACCAGCGTCAGCGGGGGTCACGTTATACAGTTGGAAACTGAAGGTTCCACGTGTGTAGGACACTGAGTCGCCTTTAATCCTGGTCCTCAGTTCCTTATCAGCAACTGTTACTTTATTGCTGCCAGTTATCTGAAACAGTACCCTGTATTCCTTCATCACCTTGAGCTCCTTGATGGGAGACATGGCCCAGGTAACAGTCACAGGTCCTCCAAGGCGAGCATAGACGCCTACAGCAGCTGAGATAGAACAACAAAACTGGTTTCATGTGTCCATTGAAATAATTCAGTTTATATATGATACCAAATACTACACATTGGGAATGTTTTATGCATTATGGATGTGAGTGAGTGAGTTTAGTTTTACGCCGCTTGCAGCAATATTCCAGCAATATCACGTCGGGGGACACCAGAAATGGGCTTCACACATTGTACTCATGTCAGGCATCGAACCCGGGTCTTCGGCGTGACTGGGCGAACGCTTTAACCACTAGGCCACCCAACCGTCCCTATGCATTTTGGAACAAATCAAATGACATATTCATAAAAAAAAATGTATACATGTGTGCTGAATGATCCAAATTCATGAAATAAAATGTAACAGAAACAAAATGATAAAACTGTCAATGAATTACCCTTACGACATGATTAAGTCATTTACTGATTATATGAAAAATAATAATTGATGAAATATGAACATGAATAGATATGTTCGGTCGATTGATTTTCCTTGGTGCTGTGCCATATTCCCTCTAGTTTGTATTACTAGAAAGGTGTTAACAAAGGCTTAATGCCTCTTCTCCGACCCTTAAACCCAAACAGAATGTTGTTTAGATTGTTGATTAAGACATCACAGTCTACAATAAAGCAAGGAATAACTATCAACCTTGCGCATTTCTTTATTGCCGAATGCTCAAATGACAGACAGCCTATTCAGGAAACAGTCAAAGCAGACAAATCTTAGAGACTTTCGACTACAATTACGACTGCTATTAGAGCTATTCTTGAAGTTGCCTTAAACCTTTCGCAAAGTTATCTTACTCATGACACAAATCTCAGGAAACACATTGAGCTCTTTTGTGACGGAGGTAAAATAATGGTGTTTCCCAATGACGTCATTGATGATTCAAGGAATTCCCTAGATTTAAATTGTATCAATATTTATATGAAATTATATATAGGTTTTAAAGATAATCAGTGAATCCGCTATTGAAGATAAATGTAGATGTTATGATTAATGATGCAGCCTCATGTTATTGTTATGGGCAACTGATCTATAGTGGTCATCATTATACGGCCGTTCTCTTTTATTGACAGATATAGCAACCACTGAATATTGATACATAGAATTCGAAAGGATGATGCGAAAGAAAACGAAAATGTGACAAAACACTAACAAGTTCGTACATTATATGGGTATGGCCACATTTCAAAGATTGCATCTAACATTGTTTGGCCAGATGTGAGAAGGAAACTCGGAACATAGAACAATGAAACCTACACAATGTCCACGGAACATAGAACAATGAAACCTACACAATGTCCCAGGAACATAGAACAATGAAACCTACACAATGTCCCCCGAACATAGAACAATGAAACCTACACAATGTCCCCGGAACATAGAACAATGAAACCTACACAATGTCCCAGGAACATAGAACAATGAAACCTACACAATGTCCCCGGAACATAGAACAATGAAACCTACACAATGTCCCCGGAACATAGAACAATGAAACCTACACAATGTCCCGTGAACATAGAACAATGAAACCTACACAATGTCCCCGGAACATAGAACAATGAAACCTACACAATGTCCCAGGAACATAGAACAATGAAACCTACACAATGTCCCAGGAACATAGAACAATGAAACCTACACAGTGTCCCCGGAACATAGAACAATGAAACCTACACAATGTCCCAGGAACATAGAACAATGAAACCTACACAATGTCCCCGGAACAAAGAACAATGAAACCTACACAATGTTCCCGGAACATAGAACAATGAAACCTACACAATGTCCCCGGAACATAGAACAATGAAACCTACACAATGTCCCAGGAACATAGAACAATGAAACCTACACAATGTCCCCGGAACATAGAACAATGAAACCTACACAATGTCCCAGGAACATAGAACAATGAAACCTACACAATGTCCCCGGAACATAGAACAATGAAACCTACACAATGTCCCCGGAACATAGAACAATGAAACCTACACAGTGTCCCCGGAACATAGAACAATGAAACCTACACAATGTCCCCGGAACATAGAACAATGAAACCTACACAACGTCCCCGGAACATAGAACAATGAAACCTACACAATGTCCCCTGAACAAAGAACAATGAAACCTACACAATGTCCCCGGAACATAGAACAATGAAACCTACACAATGTCCCCGGAACATAGAACAATGAAACCTACACAATGTCCCCTGAACATAGAACAATGAAACCTACAAAATGTCCCCCGAACTGCGACGTGGTTTTTGCAACGCTCCCCGAGTGTGAAATCGATAATTTTGGAAGGTATTTTGTGTGAATCAACCCACGTAGATTGTAAACCGACCTTTAGATATTTAAAGTATGTTTTACACAATTTCAATTTTTTCTTTTAGCATTCGTAATTGAATATTCATTCTTGGGTTAAATGATGTCATAAAACATGCCATCTACCTATACATATTCGACAAGGTGTTCATTGTATTAGACGCCATATGTCTCATATGTTGTACTCGTAGTCAATAAGAACCACTCTCATTTTCCATATAAATTGACAAGAAAAGGATCACGTTCAATACGATAGCATGCACATACGCTGCTAGTGTTTCAACCGAAACAAACGAAAAAGGTACATTAAACTACCTTTATAACGAACACGCTTATAACGAAACGACGGATATAACGACTTCTTTTGGTCCCGTCCTGATGTTGTATATATGCTGTATATATTCTTATAACGAACTACGGTTATAACGAACTAAACTTAGTGGTCTCTTTGAGTTATAACCGTTTTGTATGTTGTTTGTATGTTACTTTTTTTCTAGAATGATTGTTAAGCTATCATCTGTTATCGACTCGCTCTTACATCATCAGTCAATACAATGTTTCAGCGGTGTCTGTTAGGGTATGTTGTTCGTTTTGTGAAAGTGAATGTGGCAAACACTCGGTCTTGTGTTCAGAAACGATACAGTGGAACCATACTGCGAATCGTTTTCTTCAACATGCATCACGTCGTGATCTCATGAGACAGGTCTTAATTTTTGTAGTAAACTTAAGATAACGTAGCGCTAAGGCAGCTAAGTACAGACTTAGCTACGATTTGTTGCTACGACACACTAACGCCAACCTTGGTGATAATTTTAAGACAGTTTCGTGAATAGGCCACCAGAAGGTCAATTCCCAACACTGAGCCTAAATGTCAATCTATCCTTTCATTATTGAATTCATTACGATTGTGTTACCCAATGCATATTTCCTGATCCCTGCATGTTGAATGACCATCCGTAAGTACAGCTGTGAACACATTTTTTGAAGATGTTGGACAATCCAATTTTGAAATTAATGTTTGCCTTTGTTCATCAATGATATATGATAAACAGAAGATCAAAGACACGTGTGCTCATTGAAACAAACCGAAATATTTATTTACTTTATCGCAACTTAACTCGACATGCCCATTCGGGACTTGAAGAACATGCTTGTGACAGCTAGGATAATACACCTAAACGTGGCGAGGAGCGAGGTGGTTATAATATATAAAATGTCAAATCACTCACGTGTAGCCCCCGTACAGCTGTCGGTCACTATACTGCAGACAACACATTGTATACACCACCACGAGGGTCGCATAGTGTGAGATTCATCAAAGTGTAAACTGTCCACGTATTGTCCAACCTATGTCATCCAGGCTGAGCGAATTTGAATCTACTAGCGTTTATTTCAACACATTTATTGCAACGTGATGATTCAAAGCGGATTTCTGCCCACTTTCCGCCTCAGGTTTCGACTACCGTGACGTGACTAAAAGTTTCATTAGGTTTGCATCAGGCCAGAATTTATAATTATCTTTAATGATGGTTTTATTTCTGTTGTTATAGTTCAGCAAAGGAGGGTCGGGTGTCCCTGGCAGTATCAGGCTTGCTAGGCTCATCATAAGCTCAGTCCCCTCTACGCGCAGCCCAGACAGCGAATAGGACTTCTCCCATGAGGCCCTGCCTAGTCGAACCCGCCTAGAACGTTTCGGAGAACGTGAAGACTTCCCAACAATGCAGCCTTCTGCATTACCCAGATTATCAGCACTTTATTGCCTGTCCTCCGATGCAAATAAATTACATCGGGTGGTAAGGTTCTGTGGATTGGACGACTGTGTATCGTCGTACTCGACGCCGTAGGACGTTGCTCATAATATCAATCACTGCTTTTTCTTTCTGACCCTCATCTATCAGACCTGTAAAACTCACATTATGAAGTCTAAATGAAAAACACAAAATCCTTTACATCAGACAATGATGTGTATCGAAGTAGCGGCTGGTGAATTTCCTACACTGTATCACACGTGACACTGAATACAATGTCTGACTCAGACAGGCAATGGACACCAGTCTGTGGAGCATTTCTCCATGGATACCATCTCACAGTGCAGCATTTGTGTAAACACAGTCACCCTTAAAACAACATGACTTCCCCGATATGTTACCATCTCACAGTGTAGCATCTATGTTCACATGGTATGTTTATGGTAGGATCAAAACATGCGAAAACATCAGCACAACGCTGTGAATATTTCCGTTATCCCGTTTCCGTTTTCGTCTAAATTTACGCTGTAACGACAACTCGACTTCCCACACAGGATGACACAGAGCCAGAAGTAAAACGACCTATGCGGACCTCGAGGACCTATGCCGTAGATTGTGAAACACTTCCGTAAAGAACTTACATTTGATGTTCAATCATGGACTCTGACATGGTGGTACGTTGTATTGTGTTGGGTATACAGGCATCTGATAATGAGTATCTGGCCTGACATAACTGGAGGGAAAGGGACTCTATATTTAACTAATGAATGATTAAATCAGCCAAACCTGTTTTCTGAACAGAGTATCCACCAGGTAGTATTTAAGAATTGACTCAAACTCGAGCTCGAGAATAGTAACTTAACAGACTGCTTTGTAAATCATTAACGCAAAAAAGTTTACCACGACAGGAAAACCCCACCCACTCGATTATCAGCCAATCAGGAAACTCGTTGTCCGGTTGTGGCGATGACCTGGTTTATGAGACAATAAACAATTGCTTCAATTCACTTTAGCAGTGTCTTTCATTCACTGTAGGTGAAAACGGGTACATCGAGTCCCGCTCGAGTCGTTGAGACACAGGTGCTCAAGTCCATTTGTTTCAAACCTTCAGAGACCTCCTCCAAGATAAGTATGGTCGTATTTCGTTCACTTCTACCACTGCAACTGTAACTTACACAGATTATATTTAAACCTGTCCGTATAAAAAGATTTGTTGGACTTAAAATTGAAAAAGCAGAGTGGAGCCCGACTGGGAAGTCCTTTCAGAAACAGAATAAACTTTTTCGAGATGAGAAGATCTGTTTTCGCTTCTCTGAGTATAGTACCAAGATTGATTTTTCCTGTAAGCATTCCTGCCAGATAGTTGTTTGACAACTGTAACTGGTAGTAATAATAGCTGTGGATCAAGATTATACAGAGTGTGAACCTACAGTTGGTCCCTTCCATAGGTAATTCAAAAAGTGTCAAAAGTAGTACAACACTATGACTAAGTCATTGGAGTATATGAAAACCTCTACTGAAGCAAACATACCATGCACCTAGTGAACTACACAGCTAAGTTTCCCAACGAATCTTATACTCCATGAAAGGTACGAAGCCTAATTATGACGATTTATGAACATGCTATTTATACACCAGAAGGATATTATGAGGAATGTGCTGTTATTTTCTAAAGCTTGTTGGCGCGAACTTAATCGAAATATCGCCACTGTTATATTAAATCCTGTAAGTTCATGTCGGCCTTACTGTTAATATCGTATGGAAAGGTTCAAAATAACATTAACTGTTGTAAGAGGATGTAGGTCATAGTGGAACTAACGAAGTAGCATTCACTGTTACCATCTAATGATGTGGTTTCTAAAGGATTATTGAAAAAACCCGTTAATAGTTAACATACTGATGTAGACTCATGTCGAGCTGTTAAAAAAGTATGACTGGATCGTGTTATATGTCTGATCATTTACATTTGGCACCATCTAATGTAAGGGAGATAACTCAGTGTAAGTATGCTTGACTGATGTGGATGACACCGGACAGCAGTTATAAAGGGAGGGAACTCCAACTGACTTAGTACCATGACATGCTGAAAGCGGTCTGCTGAATATGTTTTGTGTTTCAGTGGAACATCATTTTCTGTAATAACCTTAATGAGTAGTAACCCGTCAAGGTTTAGTTTGCTGCTAGCCTTTCATCCCGTTGCCGAACAAGACACACAGATACGTTCACACCGTCTGGCTCTAAACACCCCTAATCTCTCTACCGTGACAGTACAACACAACATCACACCAACATACATTCCACACTTACAACACAACACAGCCTCACACCTACATACATTCCACATTGACAATACAACACAGCCTCACACCTACATACATTCCACACTGACAATACAACACAGCCTCACACCTACATACGTTCCACATTGACAATACAACACAGCCTCACACCTACCTACATTCCACATTGACAATACAACACAGCCTCACACGTACCTACATTCCACACTGACAATACAACATAGCCTAACACCTACCTACATTCAAACATTGACAGTACAACACAGCCTCACACCTACCTACATTCCACACTGACAATACAACACAGCCTAACACCTACATACCTTTCACACTGACAATACAACACAGCCTCACACCTACATACATTCCACACTGACATTGCAAAACAGCCCCACGCTCTGACAAGTGTAAATTGGCACGGCTCAGATGGCCGATAGCTATGAACACACAATGCCATTAAAAAAATGGGCAAATGTAACAAAAGTTATATTTGACAAACACTCGTAAAGTATATATTCTAGTACTTTTGTTGAGTTGAGTCCTGTCCCGTTCGAACCCACACTGCCAGAGTGAGATACACAATCGCCAGCACACACAGTCAGCGAGCTAGCCCACCCAGTCACTGAGGCTTCCAGAAAATGAAAGTCGAACAACTGGTAGTCTAGATCACGTACTTTGTGTACCCCTCTGACAGTGTAAGGCACTGCAACCGTGGGTTCGAATCCCAGCTGGGACCCAGCCCCAAAACTGGGATCTGTACTTTACTAAGAAAATGTTATCTCAAATATAACATTTGTTAACTGACAACCTCCAGCGGCAAAACATAACCAGAATGCAATGGCTAGCCATGAGACCTGATCTCTCCCCCTGGGCCTTACACGGGCAACGTGTCTGCCGACGTTAAAGGCCACCGTACAAATGATTTTTTTACCAATCGCGGGGGCATTAACCATTATTGATCAAGTCATCTCAAAGGCTCATTTTTATTCCCCTGGGGATGGGGATGGCCTAGTGGTTAAACCATTCGCTCGTCACAAAAAACACCTGGGTTCGATTCACCACATGGGTACAATGTTTGAAGCCCATTTCTGGTGAAGCCCCGCAGTGATATTGCTAAAAGCGGTGTAACACCAGACTCACTCACCCTAATCATTTGGTATTTTCGAATATCCTTTACTTTATTTGGAAAGTATATAACTTACTTCGTGAAAGAAAAACTGAGAATACTAGTCGCTCATTTGTGCGAGAGATCCTCTACTACCTGTAATTTTAAACAATTAAATAAAATTATGTTAAATATAATATCATTCAAAGACATTGAGAACATGTTTGATCACCTCAATTTTAGGCTTTGAAACCGGTGGCATCCAGCCCAATTCGGCCCAGACAGCCAAATTGGGTGTTTTACTGTCAACACCTGGAAAGAACCTACAGGCATTAATCTGTACAATGTTTAAACAACTCAATTGTCTCTGACCCCATGCAGCTGACTCATAGGAGAAGGAGGACAAGAAGAAAAAAACAACTTATTTATTAATGTGATACACATTGCATTTACAGTGTATAGAGATCTGGATGATAAACTAGTTAAACAAGCACAGCCTCACAAAGCTTGTGAGACACAATGTACATACAACAATCAAATACTATTAAAATAATGTATATTCAGTGATACACACAACATGATTGAACTAAAGAATAAGTAACAATTTAGATACAACATTGAAAAAATACATGGTAAAAGGAAGAAACGCAGCGCTTAGTAAGAGTGAGTATTTAGCCTGGAAAGGGTTATTCTATTTATTATCTACGCCAGATGATAAGCATTCTCGACTATTTGCGGCAAACCATTCCCTTGAGCGTGAAAGGCAAAATAGCTGTGAAAAGTATTTTAATTAATAACTAAAAATAACATTGTAGGACAAACCAGCAAAAGATTTAGATTCACCTATAATAACATCGAGTGTTCGGCTGACAGATTCAGGAATTTGTCTTACTGCAAAATTTAAATCAAGATTATCTCGTAGCCAAATCCCTAGACGCTTATAACCACTAATCTAGTCTATAACATTATCGCTAATATAAAATGCAAACTGAGTTCTGCTCATGCAATAAGTGCTGCAATGTACAATGTCTAATATGCACAAAGAACTGGCAATTACAACACGTGCTATGCTTCACGCTTGGGTGAGTGAGAGAGTTAAAATTTAACGTCGCATCTGCATTATTTCAGCCATATAGCGACGAGACCAAGTTAATAAATTTACAATGTAGTTATTAATGCACATTTTATATTTAAAAACAAGTTGTGAAGCATATTTGAGAAATATATATTTAGAAACAATTTATGAAACATATTTGAGCATCACAATATTATATATACAGTTTTAAAACACGGGCTATAGGACACCAGTAACCAAAGCTTCCCGCTTGGATCGGCATTAGCATAGGTAATCAATTGTCTGACTGTAACAGTGATGGGTTTGGTCAGTTTTCCTGGTTCTAGCTTACGGTCTGCAGTAAGTTCCCACTGACTTTTAAAATCATAGGAACAGAACTTTCAACAAGACTCATTTTATCTAGCCTTTAACGGAAAAGGCGTCTGTATAGAATCGGGTAGCCAAGCTCGTTGTCTAGGTTGATTGCATGTCATCGTACCCCAACGTGTTAAATGTTGTATGTCAACTAGACTCGATTGCGTACAGGAATGTGACACACAGGATATCGCTGCAAATAATGCTGAAGGAAAATATGCAATACAGTGTACATACACTAAACACTGAACTTTGACGAAATTGCAATTAATTCTTCTTAGATAATCAAAACATATAAACGGTGATCACAATCATAAAATGTGTAGTTCGTGCTATCATGCTCTTTGGTTTTTATACAGTCCTATATACCATGGGAGGGGTCGGTTAGTATCACTTAATTCCAAATGATTCCGAAATAACGACATTGCCAAGGTAGTTAATTTTATAGTCAGCATGATGACTTGCTATATACATGCTATATACACCAGATAATGAGTAAACATAAGTACTAACAGGCTGGATGTAGCGATTATCTTCATCGCCCGCAGTGGTGGCAATATACCGTGATGGATATAAAAAAACTATATGTCACTCTTCCGAAACTACAGCAGTTGTGAATACTGGAATCCATGTTTTGTTTTGGTTTACAGAATATACCCGAACACTTATTGTGTTGGACTCTCTTTGCATAATAAAATTCATCTTTTCCTCAAAATGCCAGGTTAACTAAAGTAATCACGACTCTTGTGACTATCCTTATCTCTTAAAGGAGCGGTTGTGTAGCCTAGTGGTTAAAGCGTTCGCTCGTCACGCCGAAGACACGTGTTCGATTCCCGACATGGGTACACTGTGTGAAGCCCTTTTCTGGTGCCCCCGTCGTGATATTGCTTGAATATAGCTAAAGAGGGGCTTACAACCTCACTCACTCACTCAGTTATCTATTTACATCAAATCATTCAACTTAATCATCCGCTGTTTATCTCAAAGGACAAAGGACGTCGTTTCCTTGAACGACGAGGCTGCCTCAGAGGTAAACAGAAATATAATTGGTTCAACAGCACGATAACATGCCAGCTGACTCGTCATTTCTCTAAGTGAGAAGCAGTGTTATTCCTTTGTTTGATAATAATTCCTGTTTGATAATAATTCCTGTTTGATAATAATTGCTGTCCTAGGCCTGGCCTGTTTTACAGAAATACTATTCAGTTTGAGTTTTCTGCATCAGTGTTATCAACAGTTCCTGGTTCAGCTGACGTTTGAGCGTCAAGGGAAGGAAATGGTCTAACTTCCTCATAGTCGGAGCTGCTGGCACGTGGTGACTGCATGTGATAAAAGACCGAACCGGAGCCATCTGTGTCCTCAATGACAGCGTATTCGTCAACCCCCTCCTGTTCATGTGGGCCATGTGTAGTCTGGGTAGGTGTAAGATACGACTGACGAAACCTGTGAACAAAGAAACAACATTTCCTGTACATTTTCATACAATGCATGACTATATCCTGAGATAATGAGGCGGTCGGGTAGCCTAGTGGTTAAAGCGTTCGCTCGTCACGCCAAAGACCCGGGTTCGATTTCCGACATGCGTACAATGTGCTGAAAGCGTCGTAAAATCAAACTCACACTCTGAGATAATACTAATGCGATAGTGAACATGTTTTCATTAAATATGTAATCATGTAAAAAAAAAAATCTCTTTCTTACTGCCTTATGACTTAGCGTAGAAATCACAAATTCTACTTTCTGGCTCAATCTACCTGCACATCCATACCTTAGTCACAAGTAAGTATTGTACAAACAAATATGTCATATAGCCAACAGGACCTACCTGACAGACCAGTATTCTGTAACAAAGGAAGAAACAATTTTGATGTTATATAAGACCATATGCCTGTGATCTATATAGTTTATTCATAGGCTGGCACATTCAGTTAAACTCTTGCAAAGCACGTACGAGTCAATCCAACTAACATAACCGTACTGCAGTGTAGATTCGTTTGCCTCTTTATTACATCCACATGAATTAGGGTGGTCGGGTAGCCTTGTGGTTAAAGCGTTCGCTCGTCACGCCGAAGACCCGGGTTCGATTCCCGACATGGGTACAATGTGTGAAGCCCTTTTCTGGTGTCCCCCGCCGTGATATCGCTGGAATATTGCTAAAAGTGGTGTAAAACGAAACTCACTCTCTCACTCACTTTACACTCGTGGCATCCAGTTTAATGGGCTGCGACATCCAGTGTATCCGTCTTAAGGTTTGAAAGGTTTAAAACAATTTTGGTATCCCTACCAGAAGATTGCAAACAGAAAATAAAACAAATGTGTCTTCAGTAAATATACGAAACTGTTTACCACAGGTATGCAGGGGATTTGAATGTTTAGAATTTAGATCCAATCTAAACATTTATTTTATTGATTTCGTATTTTGCGCAATTTTCTGTAAGCAAGAATTTTCATATGTGCTTTTAGCGGTACGTGTTTTATAGGTCACACGACATTCCTGCAATCATGTTGGCTATAACAGTTTCAACATGCCAGTTATCCCATTCATACCTGACAGTACATGGTGTATTTTCTAACCGTACGGTATCCTTTACATCATCCATGAGATATAAGATTACAGGCATATGATTAATCTCAACGCTGTTGACTACTGATATTTTGTTTTAGTAACAGAAAAGTTCAACCGGAAATGAGATAATCGATCACACTACATCCTTGTTAACTTATAAAAGTAAAAGAACCACCACTGTCTCCGACAACACGCCCATTGAGTATTTACAATCTTAATATATAGGAAAAATTCAAAAGTAAATTAACGAATGTATTAACCAACTATCACTTGAATCCACATGAGTTTAGCAAAGCGATATAACACGTGGCTACTGATTGCTGTGATGCATTAGTTTTTAAATAACACTTTCTTCCTAGTCGATTAAGTAGTTGCAATGTAGAGTACAGCGTTGCGTCACTCATAGGAAGCGAGGCATGATCTTATTTCGAATGTTCGTGGGATTCACCAAAGGGGTCCTGCATCACTTCAGGCCCTCCTCACACATCAGACGGACGTGCCATGATACAACTAACACATTGCTCAAAACGGCGTAAAACACAACTCAGTCACCATTCTTATTTCACCCAGTTTTAATCTCACCTCTGATATGCTCCAGTCGAATGAGGAATATGGTTGCAAGAAGGATCAATGTAAAGGCTACTATCGAACACCCAACGACAACAGTCACATCAGGGGGGCTTCTCTCTGGAACTGACAACGAGTAACAGTATGAGTTTTGTAGCTAAGTCTGATGTGTACGAACAAAAGCATTTCTTAGTGAAGTGAAAAATTGACGGATGTATTTTACATATCAATATACCAATGTATGTAACAGGTGAAAGTGTCATCAGGAATAACTGTCATAACTATGATCTCAGGTTTGGCTGTAACAGAATTATTCTTTTTATCTTGTTATCAATTAATGAATGAGTAAATTGTTTTCTTCCGAGTTGAAACCTAAGATCATACATAGGCAAATACATTACTAGCAATACATTATTAATATTACTTGAGTATATACAGTGGAAGCATGTGAACGGTGTTTATGAATATCAATTTACAATGTAAAATTTGTGAACAGTAACGTGTATGTGTCTAATAGATGTACATGAGGTGTTTCTTTAAATTCAATATAAAGTAGCACAAATACAGTTTGATGTATTCCAAAGTATCAAAATCAATTTCGTCAGTTAAATCATGAATATCTGCACCGAGAAACAATGAAAGCATATCATCGTCGTCAAGCATACTTATTTTCACATCGACATCAATACCATGTTTATCAATCAGACATAAAAAGAAATGATTTCTGTCATATTTACAGTGCAAAATAATGTGGCAATTATAGTCATAGCAATTACAATGTTTACATTCTTTCGACACCTTTCTCTTGATCCGAATTTAATACAAAAGTTGTAGGGGTTGTCTTAAATGTGGATAGAGATGCATTGTATTATAAGGAACATGCATTTGTAAACGTGTATGAATGTAATGCTATCACGACAGATCTGGCCTCTGTTCTAAGTTAGAAATAGACGAATCTGTTGGGTGTCTTTTCCCGAGCTTGGATGGCGAGCAAAGTTATGTTTTACTGTTAAAAAAATAAAAGTTTTAGTTTTTTAATTATTCATCTATTCTTTTCTTCATGTTTGGGATTGTTATTTATATTCTTGACTATAAGTAAAGGACACAATTAATGAAAGACATTTTATATGACATTTAATATTAACTATTTACAATTAATATGAAATAAGGGGCATGAGTTGCCTGATAACCTGAAGTACAGCAACACAATAACACTCGTAGCTGAAATACTTTGACAGGCAATTGTTAAAACTTCAATGCACACACTCACTGATATAATATGTGTTCTGTTTTGTGATTGGCTTTTCACACGTTACGACTTAACTTATTTCACTGGACGTATCACTTCATATATCATTTATAGAACTATTCCACAAATTGATAGACACGTGGGGATTCCGGGTTAGAATTGTTTCCCAGCAACCTTTGCTTGTCGTCAGAGGCTACTAAATGAAACGTTGGGTCAGGTTCGCTGCCTTGGTTGATGCATCGTATCCCAATTAAGCTGGATTAGTGCTGAGGTTGCAACAAACAAGCAGGCTACGTAATTGTGCATTGTCGAGATACATTTTTATCTTTGTTAGCTGGCTACATTCAGGCTTGAATGTTTCAGCATTTAGCACTCTGGTAAATAATTCTATGACTGCTAGCGGAACACATATTCTCGAGAATATTAAAACTTATATGGAATGTATAAAAAGCAGATACGTTTCAATTGTCATATTAGAAAGCTATTTTTGTCAATGAATGGTCAGTAGATATTTATCAGTGTACATTGTACGCATGTGGGAAATCTAACAATCGTCACGCCGAAGACCCGGGTTTGATTCCCCACATGGTCAAAATGTGTAATGCCCATTTCTTCATAATGTTTTCTTCGCCATGACATTGCAGGATATTGCAAACTCATTACACTGGCTAATCACATCGAATGCAATGGACGTGACAAGAACAGTCACATTGACAAATATGTCACAAAAGACTCTAAGATGTCGGAAATGTGTCACAAATAGTAGATTAAAAACTAAACATTTCAAATACTAAAACAGTCCAATCTAATCATTTCATACCATTAAAATTAGAGCTGTATACCACCAGCCATCAGAACAATGGACGTACATGATCATTCACATGATGCCCAATGAACATAGTTGGTCATTCAATGACCTAATATATTATAAAGCTACTTGGCTATTCAATGGCATGTTTTATAATGAACCTATTTGGTCATTCAATGACATGATATATGATGAACCCTGGCCTTGACATATACAGAACCGCAAAAGAACCATCATTCCAAGTAACATTGCATCAAAAGTTGTCATTGAAATATCTCGGTACTTTTTGTCAAAGTTTCTAAAAATTTACCTTGTCCGGAAAAATGAAATTTAATGATAAAAAACCAAAGCAGAGCACAATAAAACCGATCGCCAAAACGCATCACGGCAACGGCCATGGTGACCCGATACACGTGAGTTCCGTGCAAATTGAAATGCACATGCGTTCCCCCATTTCTTGCCCTAAATAAATCCTCCCAGATCGGATAACATTCATTCGTTATTGAATTGCTGCCACATGCCGAGATTGACTAGGAATCAGCGACACCAAGCCCTTGGACGATTGCAAGCTGGACAAACCGCCAGGCAAGTAGCCAATGCATTACAAGTCCACGTAAGGACCATATACAGGCTCAAGTAATGGTACCAGACCACCAACACTACAGATGACCGACCACGTAGTGGAAGACCAAGGGTACACCACCCGACGCCAGGATCGTCAGATTGTGGGACAGCATCTTCAAGATCGCTTTGTTACTGCTGCGGAAATTGCTCGACAGACCGTGGGGACACACCAGCGACACATTAGTGCGGACACCGTGCGTCGACGATTGACGAGCAGACACCTCCACCGTCACAGGCCACACCGAGGACCCATTCTGACACCATGTCATCGACGGGACCGTCTTCAGTGGGCATCACGGCACCAGCATTGGCGCCACCAGCAGTGGAGCAGAGTCCTCTTCTAAGGAGAGAGCCGTTACTGTATCTCAACATCAGATGGCAGAGAGATAGTATGGCGACGCCGTGGGGAACGTTATTCGGATGTTTTTGTTGTTGAGAGAGACTCTGTGGTCCGAGCATCATGGTGTGGGTCGGAATTGGCCTTGCACAGAGGGTCGGCCCTGTGGTCTTCCAGAACATCGGTCCAGGGAGGGGCAATGGTGTCATGACAGCTCGGTACATTGATCAAGTCTTGAGACCACACGCCATACCTCATTTGGCACGTCGCCGCAACCACGGGTTTCAGCGTGATAACGCCCATGCCCACACTGCGAGAGCAACAAGAGACTTCCTCCAGCAGAATCGATTCATAACCATGCTGTTGCTTGCCCTCAGTCCCGATTTAAATCCCATTGAGCACCTGTGGGACGAGATTCAAAGAGGGCTAAATGACGTCCGACCAAGGCCGACAACTGCAGCTGAACTGCGTGAGGCGTTCCTCAGAGTCTGGGCTCAAGTGCCTATGGCCTTCATCAACCGCCTCATCCATGCCATGTATCGACGTTGCACGGCAGTCAACAATGCACATGGCGGGCGCACGAGAGACTGACTTGTGATGCCATTTTCTCAGAGACTAGTGTTGTGTTTCACTTTAAGAACATTTGACACATTAATTTCAACCTTGATGATCAGTTTTGCCAAGTTTCATCTTTTTGATATGTCTCAAAGTATGTTTACAGTGTTTGGACAAATAAGGTTTCTCATATATCTATGCATGGTGACGTTTTCTGTTGCGGTTCAGTGTATAATGTACTTTCTTGGCTATGCAATGACAGTGAAAATTCAGTGAAAAGGTCATAGGACCAAACCCCAGACACTGTTAGAATGCATGAACTACCCATGCCAATATGTAATTTACAACATCACAGTTTTCAGTTAAAAACCATTCAGTCAAATATGTTACCGTTTGAGACCTGTATACTGTTTAAGATAAATACTTCTTACAGCTGAACAATAACATACACAATACAGCAATACGTCTTCAATAAAAGATCTACCATTTTCTATACACTATTTACATAATCGTTCTTTGAATTGGACATTTGTGTCTCTCTCCAAATCAACTGCAAATTTAGACTTGCCACATCTGAAACGAGTCCTACATATCTCAGATGTACTGGCATGGGGAGCGTAAGATATTTTTCAACATTTAACAGGGATTGATAATGTTAAAAATAAACGGTATCAGATATACTATTTATAGAACTACAACTTAAATGTTGAACGTATAAAATAGGTTTTGTTTAAAAAAGATAAATATATATCTGCACTTTGCCAACATCTTGTGTGAATCGATAGATATCCAAATCCTAATTTAAACAGAATAATTTCATTATGGGTAGCCCATGCAGTTTGAGCATTACATAGCATTGACGAGGTAGCCTATGATCATCCAAATGCAGCTTCCTGCGCCAGTACATGATGGGGAGAGGCTCTACCACACTTTCACAAAACCATGGCATTGTCTGTTGTTTTACCCATTTTATGAAATCATTTACACGTTTTGTTCTGTACAACTTCAATAGTTTTACAAAATGAGGTGACACTTACTTCTTCACGATAACAAACTATGGGCACAACCATAGCAAAAACTATCTTCAATAAATCATTACCAGAATTCTGTTGGTGTCTATATTATGTCATAATAGCTTTGTTACTTTGTAAAAGTACGTGTCTCAGTCAAAACAAGTTTGGGCAAGAACCCAATACTCAAATATCTATACAATGACACAGTTTAATTAACTTTCCACTTTTCATTACGGATAAGAGGTCCGCCATTGCCGAATACCATAACTTGAGTATACTTCAAGTTTACCATCATACTTGTGGTATTGTAATGACATACTATATGAGAAACCTACATGGCTAACTATTGAGCCTACGTGCTATTGTCCGTTCATGACGATGTTATAAGGGACTTTGAGTCTTGTGGTGCCATAAGGGGACACATAATTGCAAATGAATATTACAAACTACACAAAATAACTTTTTCACCACACACAGGTCATAATATAACCTATGTGATGAACAATGGAGTGCAACATTTCCACTCTACTCTTCTATACTTACACATACCAGGCGATGTCATGACGGCGTTTGAGTCTCTGACGTCAGGACCTGAAATAAATGTTATTGTAAATGAACATAATATATCAACTTCTTTATGCACCAATCGTATTATAAGCCTCACCTTTACACATTACAAACAATACTCGCAAAGCAGCTCTTGGAACTATACACTACATTTATATGAAACATGCAACAGGTACTATATATTCACCTCTATAAGTTACAGCCTACTATTTACATCAACTTTCGAGAGAATGCATTCCCGTGTTAAATATATCAACAACCGCACAGTAACACTATTGTGGGCATTGGTAAAGTACATGCACAACAGGACCCGTGAAGATTCCGGGGAGGAATAGGTCTTCAGCAACCCATGCTTGCCGTAAAAGGTGACTATGCTTGTCGTAAAAGGAGACTAACGGGATCGGGTGGTCAGGCTTGCTGACTTGGTTGATGCATGTCATCGATCCCAATTACGTTTTACGTGTCTGGTCCAGACTCGATTATTTACAGACGCCGTCATATAGCTGGAATATTGATGAGTGTGGCGTTAAACAACAAATAAACAACAACAGTGGTAATCGGTAACAGTTGTGCTAAGAAAAACATAACTGGATAATTTGACACTTGCTTAATTACCCAATGACGCAGCTATATTGTTTTCTAACAATATTTGTCTTTGCTAAAGATAAAAGTTATTTCACAAACTTCAAACAATTTATATCAAGTTTATGTTCCGAGGACAAACTGAAAATTATTTGTCGAGGGACATACATTTCATATCAATTTGAAGCGAGTGTATTTATTCTATTCCATATCACGAAGAAACGCCTTTTCACCGCTATTGTGCTTTTTACTCCAAACTGGATAATCGACATATTTACATTTTGGAAGTAAAATACCGTCCAGAGTAGAGATAAGCTTTTATATTTCGACAGTTAACAGCAGAATAGTTGACTCAGTACCGACAACGCTGCTTGTTATTGTGAACGTAAGAGATACGTACTTGAGACGATCAAATCGTGTGTACACTGAGTCATTTTGTAGATCTTGGTTGCACTTTTCTCTATCCTGCAGCTGTATCTCCCAGCATCAGCTAGTGTAACATTGTAGAGACGAAAGACATAGGTGCTGGTGTTACGGGAGGTAACAACCTCCACCATCCTGGTTCTGAGCCAGTACTTAGGAAGAATGTAGACCTTATTGGAATCCAAAGCCATCAACTTATCCCCACTAGGTGTCATGATGTAGAATTCATATTGATAGCGAGGCATCCTCCAGGCTACCATAGCATGATCACCTTCACGCACTTGTGTGTAGTTTGGGACTTCTTCCATCCTTGCTGTAACATATACATGTATCATCCACACTACTTAAGTTAACAATGTGCATGTATGAGTAAAGGCGTACTGGCATGAGCGCGGGTTCGTGATTTTATGTTGAAAGCGTACTGTGTAAGCTGCTAAATCAGTCGCAATATGAATAATACTTGGAGGCAGGCATTAAATACGCATCTCAGTTGTTATACACATGTATTCATAAGGGTAATATTTTAAATAGATATGTATTGAGATAGATTAAGAACTAAAGTTGAATTCATCTATAACAGGAGGATTAGATAGAAAACTGTATTAAGTTTATGGACTGAGATATGTGAAAAGGACGCAAATTTCGTGGTTTTTAGTATAAACACGAGACTGGCTATTAGATAATAGCACGATGGTGTGGATCATGTATTGTGACTCATGATAGCTGGGTGACGTTCATTTAGAAATACTAAATTTACGCTATGTTGTTTTCAGAAAGTAATACTTAATATGTGGATTCAGCCTTCAATTATGCGTATTTGTTTTAATTATTATAATTTTATACAACGAATAAACGAACGTGTGAAGAAGCAATTTGGAGTAGAAGAACCAATTCGGCCATGTAAGATATTTCCGTATGTGTGTTATAGTCAATTACCTATAATCATAAATATCTTCAGTTGAACTGTATTAAAATACATATGTTACAATGTGGCTACCTGTCTCTTATGTTGGAGTGGTTTAGTCACTTACATTTGGTCGACATTCCAAATTCTTCACTCCAGTCAGTTTGAACATTCCATCCCACTATTTCAGCTTTACACGTGTATCTGCCTCTGTCATCATCCTGTCCTACATCACTGACGGTCAGAGCGCTCTTGTGGTACAAGTAGTCTCCATGTAACTTCGAAACTGTCAAAGGAAGTCTTCCTATGTTTGCCACTTCGACTTCATTCCGCCTCCAACTCCAAGTTATTAATGTATGTAAGTACCCTTTCACGGCGACGTAAGATGTCAGCGTGACAATTTTATCGGCTTCAACTGTCTGAGGGGCGACGATGTAGGGATCCGCAATATCTGTTCATAAATAAAATGTGTGGCTATTGGTAAAGGTACAATGTAAGGATCGTTACAGGGACCTAAACTCCTATTTGAGAACAACTATATAGCATACTCATCATGTATTCTCAATGAAAATATACACATGTCACAGAACATTTTTCCAACAAGTAATAAGACAAAAGCGCTTGCAAAATGTATGTTCGATTGAGCATGAGAATCCCTCTCGTGGCATGGTATTTGATAGATTCTGGAAAAGGTATATTTTGATGATTTTGTGAGTGAATATCAAAAGGAGATGGCCAGTAGTTTTGATTTGAGAGGACTTGTTTCAACTACATTTGTCTCATTTAAATGTTATTTGTGCTTGGTTGATTGTACTCATATTATTAAATGATACGCACATATTACAACTAGCCGTTGACCACAGTCGTACACTCTTGACCCGGTCGAGCCTGGTGACCCTCTGTGACATCTGTACTCTGCACTGTCTGGCCAGTCCACATTATACAGCTCGAAGCTGAACACACCAGATCCTGAAGAATTCACTCTCCCGGTGAATGTTGCTCTGGACTTGTATCTTTCAGTGACATTCACTTGATTGTAGTCAGTTATGTGGAACAGAGATTTCGAAGATAACCGTCGCACTGTAAATTCTCTGAGACCAGGTCGGGGTAATTCCCACGACAGAAAGGCAGTACTCCCAAGGCGAGCATATGCAGGCGACACAGCTGAAATAATACAATGCATGGTAAAACACACCCGAAGAAAAACAGGAAGCAGTAGTTCTGCGTTGAGTAGCAGATACAACTGAATGTCACGGTGCCAGTCATTTGGCAAAGGTTATTGTAAAAATGTGTTCGCGAAAAGGTGAGCGTATCCTGCTCCACCGGTGGCACATTGCGCAACCACATGCAAACAACATGGGAACATATGGTACAAGTCAATATAAGGAATTGTTTGAAATGTCCCCCACATGCCTTCCATAGAACGTTTTGAAAGCTTTACTGAGGCATTAAATGTTGTAACCTTGATCAAACAACTTCTGAGCAAGAGTCGTATGACGCTCTTTGAAATCTTGGTAGAAAGAGCATCATGTTGTATCTCAGAAGTTGTGAAATGTAAACACCTAAGGCTGTAGCTGCTGGAATATTGCTCGACATGTAGGGAACGTTGACTATTGGAATGTTGAAGTCATCTACCTTGTCAAACAGTTTGAGGAGAGTGTTTTGTCACCCTCAATCTTTATGCCGAGATCTACATATGAAACAGATGAGGCGGTCTCACACTGGTCTCCTTTATTTCTTGTTCAAGTGGGTAAATCAGTGGAAGGGAATGGGCTATTTGATTGTCATTGTGTATTCGTGCTAGATAACTTCCAGGGGTTCCCCCAGGAATGTGAAAATAGTCCGTCAGTGTTTACATCATTTCAAGAATACAGTCTCGAGAAAAACGTATGAACGTTATACTGTGTCGTCCATACACTTATGAACGTCAGTTTCGCGGTCATGTGACCGACTTCTCGCTCAATGGAAAAGTCGTATATCGTTTAAACTTCACATTAATAATCATACAGCTTTAAACTATCATTTAGTAAAATAGAAAAACGGTACCCATGACTTGAATTTCTTTTAAATGGATGGTTGTAACTGAAATCAGTTTGTTTGTTCACACAGTCCATCATATTGATTACTGTACATTTAATTTTGTTTCCAAATAAATCAGATAGCAATCAATCTGTTTGCGCTGAATGAACACACGATTTGCCGTGCCGTGTATAGTAGCGATGGTACATTTAAGTATTTTGTCATTTCAAAGTGATGCATGTTGTTTCCTCGCAAAATATATAGGTTCTGATAAAACTTAGGTTCGATTTCCCCAATACTTCAGGGCTCGCTATTTTTAGTTCATGTGGATGGTATGGTATGTATGGGGAAGTGATGCTGTGGTATGTTTACATTTTGCATAGTTATTTTCATAAACATTTCATAGGCATGTATATTACATAAAATATATAATGTACACAGTAAATATTATTAGTACGATATATTTACGATCCCAAAACACAGAAATGTTACAACGTCTTTTGTAGTTAGTCATTTCGAACATCAGATTTGGAAGCCACAAAGATATTTATGTTTCGATTTTATATTGAAATAATTATATGTTATAAGTAATGAACAAGCATTGACTGAATACATGCTTGAAAGTAGTGTGGAAGATGAAAGCAAATGTCATCCGAAGTTTACAGAGAAAATAATTTTTAGGAAAGGACATTTAAGTAATGATGCTTTATATTAAGTTTTTTATGTTGTTTCAATCAAACCAAAGTATTTACTTTGATAATCGATTTCTTTATCGCAACTTTAGTGAACCTACACGGCATTCAAATTCATTAATTGTTAGGAATAAGCCCCCATCTGTGACAGCTATGATAACATACCTACACGAGGAAGCGAGGTAAGTAGTACTGTAACAAAATCACTCACGTGTAGCCCCCGTCCAGCAGTCTGTCACTATACTGCAGACAACACAGAGTATCCACCACCACGAGGGTCGCATAGTGTGAGGTTTATCCAAGTGTAATATGTCAAAGCACCGTCCTAACTAAGTCATCTTAGTTTGGCGAATGTGTATTCACTCATGCTTATTTCAACACGTTTTTTTTCAACGTGATGATTCAAAGCAGTTTTCCGCCAGTTGTTTCGATTACCTTTACGTGACTATACAAACGTGAACAGAATGTTCTTCCTCCCTATAAATGATTAACGACCAAAGTTTCATACATCTGACCTCAATTCAATGTATTGATTGTCTCTTCGGATGCAGCTAAATGGGATCGGGTGTTCAAGATCGTGGATTGCATGACCCAGCGTCATTGTGCACGACGGCGTTGTTGGACGCTGCTCATGATATCAATCACTGGTTCCTCTAATTATATCTGACCATATCTTATCAACATCGGCCTGCCCTACACCAATCAAACACATGTAAAACCGAACTCATTCACCTTCATATCTTACTGATAGCAACAGAACACTTTCTGTGATTATTAGAAACCTTTGCTAAAACAGAGTCACTTGTCCGAATCCGACAATAGCGTAAGCACGTGTAATGCAGTCTGAACAAGTCACTACTTATCCGGGGATGCGGGGCAGTCTGGGGATAAAGCGTTCGCTCGTCACAAGGACCTGAGTTCCATTCCCACGTGGGTACAATGTGTGAATACCATTTCTGGTGTCCAACGTCGTGATGTTGCTGGAAAACTGCTAAAAGCGGCGTAAATTACTCACTCACTCACTACTTATCCTCTTAAACCTGACCTTATTAATGTCGAATACATGCCAACTGATGCTATACTAACTTAATATAATATCTTGTATTGGAACAATCATCTATGCATTTGTGTAATTATTATTCGTGACTCCCAATTAGAGTTAATACAATGGGGTAGGAGTTATCACCACAGGGCAGGTGTTATTACCACGGGGCAGGAGTTATCATAATAGGGCATGAGTTATCATCTTGGGGCATGAGTTATTACCATGGGGCAGGAGTTATCACCATGGAGCAGGAGTTATCACCTTGGAGCAGGAGTTATCACCAAGGAGCAGGAGTTATCACCATGGAGCAGGAGTTATCACCATGGAGCAGGAGTTATCACCATGGAGCAGGAGTTATCACCATGGGGCAGGAGTTATCAACATGGTGTAGGAGTTCTCATAATAGGGCAGAGGTTATCACCATGGGGCAGGAGTTATCACCATGGGGCAGGAGTTATCACCATGGGGCAGGAGTTGTCATCATGGGGCAGGAGTTATCATCATGGAGCAGGAGTTATCACCATGGGGCAGGAGTTATCACCATGGAGCAGGAGTTATCACCATGGAGCAGGAGTTATCACCATGGGGCAGAAGTTATCACCATGGGGCAGAGGTTATCACCATGGGGCAGGAGTTATCACCATGGAG